AGGACAGAGAATCTGGTCGATATATCTCGCGGCCGTAAGATTGCCTTGGACGAGCACAAATTCCGATCTGCAGGTGTATGAGATGGCTCCCCACATCATCACACCATCTCCACCAAATCTGTCCAACTGCCTGATGCAGTTGGATGCAAAACGTTCATTTCGTGGTCTGTAGACACGTTGTCTTCCGTCACGTCGCTTGAGGTGCTACCTCGATTCATCACTGAACCGTGTGTGCCTCCAGTTTCCAAGGCTCCATGGCTGCACCGCGTTACACCACCTGACTCACGGACGTTGATGTAATCATGTCAGAGAGGGGGAAACTTCTGGACGTCTGGCACGCATACCTACCTCTCGGAGACGGTTCCTGATTGTCTGGTCGGATATTCTCCGGGCTCCAAACCGTTCTTGTGCTGTGTCCCGGGCGGAACGATGGCAGTCACGTAGGTGGGTATCCGGATGTAGCGATCTTGGGCTGTCTGGTGACTCACGGTCTTCCTGGTCTTGGATGGTCATTTGTCGAAATAGAATGCACAAAACGATCCCACAAACGAGTTATTGTGCTGGGATGAATGCTGTTGGTCCTCGCCACGACACTCTTGGATTCGCCAGCTTGTAATCGTCCAATGGCAATATTTCGGTGGGCACCGTTGAGACTTCCCATTTTCTCATCCAGTATTTAAAAGGCGAAAAGCAATAACTGCGGCTTTTGGTTATGTTCCATACCAGTCAAGCTCATCATGACAATCATGATCGATAAAACTATTCAAAATCGTTTATGGTTGTATTTGCTCGCGCATGTTCTTCTAAACCATACCACACCAATATCCAACCCTCAAAACATGCTTAATTTGCCATTTGCGTACAAACGTTCATTTGTGTCACATTTATTTGCGTTTCTTCTTCTTTTTTTTAAGAGTGTATGTTAAAGTACATGTACCCAGAGGTACTTTGAAAAGTTCGCAGTGTTGAATAAATGGTTTCCATTAATATAGGCCAATACATCCGATGAGGGAAAGACAATATATCATAATTTGATATGATTATGTCATATTTTATGTCACCAAATTGAAATGAGAAGCATAGCATGTGGTTATCTCTATGTCATACATCATAAGCTCCCTTTTATTTATTCTACATGACTATATTGTGATAGGTTTATGAAAACATGTTTTTCTCGAAATGGTGTCGCAAGCAATTTTGGGAACTTTTATTCAATCGACCATAATGACGCTTATAGCAAACAGACCAAATGGAACCATGTTTTTCCTGAATCCATACACAACAGTGATTACAATTAGTATGGGTTCCAAAAATTACAATGTAATTCCGTGGGAAGCCCCTGCACTATGACGCATGATACATGATAACTTGTTTAAGTGGAATTTCACATGTGACAAACCAACGAAACCATGTGGGAACAGTTTGTCAACATTGTATGATATATGACGTAAGTGAGTATGAAGAGGGTTCATTGTGTCCTTGTGTCGTATTATTCGTATTAATGTAATTTTTTTAAAGCATGGTCAATGAAGTATATGTTAACAGCGTGATAAAAAGTTATACACTTGAAACTTATTTTCGACTAAACTTTGCTGAAAAGGGGGCACTGGGGTCCCAGTAGTTTAAAATGGATCTCAGGAATTGTACAAGCCTGAACCCTATAGTTGTATGAGTCTACTGATACGTTTCTTAGTGTATCATCAAGTTGTAGGTAAAAAGTCATGGGAAAAAAGTCACAGATTTGGGTAGGAAAAAAAGTCATAGGAAAGTCATAAACTCAAAAAAGGTCAGTATTGATAATGTATTTATTTAACAAGTCATAACAATATTATCATCAACAGCACTACTACATTTGAACCTAACTTATAAAATTAATGTAATCATTCAAGTAAAATACATGACATCATAAAATGCACTATCATCATAACACTATCATCTGCAACAGCACTACATCAGTCAGTTGACCTAGGATATTTTATTATGCCAATGTTCCAGCCAATGCCGTGAAGAGTTGGAGTCACAGTCTTGCGGCCAGCGTGTCTTATATTAGCTGCTAGAAGGAAGCCATTTGAGTAAAAGAATTAACTGATAATCCCATGAGTTCATTGAGTACAAATAATAATATGTTCATTTCTCCTGTTTTGATAAGATCCAATTGCTTACAGCATCACACTGTAAGGAATAATTAACTTGAAAGTGAAATAGTGTAAACAAAGTAAATGGAGAACAGGACGTTTTTATAACAGTTTTTTAGCAAATAACTGGAGAACAGGATGTTTTTATTATTGACGATGAAAGTGAAATATATAAAATACAGTATAAACAAAGTAAATAACTGGAGAATAGGATGTTTTATAATAGTTTTTTTCCCTATGACTATTTTTCCATGACTATTTTTCCGTCTACCTATCATCATACCCTTGCTCCTAAGTTTTGTAACCGGGAGCTACAATCTCCGGTTTGATTTAATAAAAATAAGAACATGTTTTATTGTTGATTAATGTTATATTATTTAATGATTTTGAATGCAGTAATATGTATGAATTTATAAATTGTGTGTTAACTGAGTATTTAACTGTAAAGGAAAGTTGTACGTGAGAACCGGGAGCGCAGATAGTAACGGATTACAGACATTAATTGGATGTCCGAGGCTGGGTGACATCGGTCAGTGTAACAAGTTGTAATTGAGTTTTGGGGCCATGGTCAGAGGGAGAATACAACTCGGACCATGTTAGTGGACAAGGGGTGATGTAGCAGGGGATTAATAGAGCCGAGTGACAGTGGCAACACGGTACAAGCCTTGTTCCCTGTCACTAGTACAGGGGCTTATTGTCTATCAAGGTTTAATAATTAGGTATAGCATATGACATCTAAAAATCAGTCCAGCAAAACAGTCAAGTTCTGGGCTTCTGATTTGAAGGATTATGGACTTCGATGTAGGAGAGGTTGGGGATAAAACTAGGGGGAAAAGTTAGGTTCGGGGAGACGGTTTGCGGGACTAACGTTAAGCGGTCAGATGTCGCTGCGCTCCCGGACATTTAGGATTACTTACAGCACGCTTGCTAAATACCTAATTGTTAAGACTATAACCGTTGATACTAAATACAATACCACTAGACGATACACCAAGATTTGACTTTGATTGTTCCTGCTTGTCGTCCACCTGCGAGAAGTTCCAAATTAAAGAACCAGGTTACAGTTTTACCAAAGTGGTAAGGGACTTCCAGCACTTCGGGTTTTTCTCCCCCATTAAGCAGACACACCGTACTACAACTGGTATGAGATCCAAAACATTACCACGATAAACATAACAAATACATGACCATGAACAGCTATTTCTACTTTATTACGTCTCCAGCCTCCACCAATTAAATGTCATACATTGATCCAAGGTGTAAGGTGAGACATCTCTCTATCACCACGTGAAACCAACCGTACTCCACATACCGGTTGCAATAAATTGAGCCGCCATTTCATCATATATATATGAGGGAGCTATAAACTATCATTCAAGTGACTGCACATTAATTAAAATGGCGTCTAAATATCGATTATAAAGGGACGTGTTTTCATGCATGCGCATTAATCATGCAAGGTACGACAAGGTTTCCTTGACCCGCCATGATCTTGATCGAGATCCGGATTTTCTATACTCGTAAACTGTCGGTTGTAGGTTTTAACAACACCTGTTGTATATGTGTTTTTACACTTTCACATATTCCAGCCGTTTAAGCGGGTTCATCTTGGAACATATTATCGCGTGAACACACAATGTCATTTAGAATGTGGTCAAATTCAACAAATGTAATAAATGTATCTTTACATCAGTCGGCAGTTTTCTATACTGATTAACTCGTTCACAGCCCTACATGAGAAACGTTTGGCGTCATTCTTACTGTTGCGTTGACCAGGAAACACGCATGGACCTGGACACTCGCGGATGTAGATGTAGATCATAAGTGAACATATTTGTTGTAACGAAAATCTATGGAAGTGATGTAACCGTACAGCAATGTCAGCATGCATATGTTCTTCTTTTGGGGACCACTTTTTCTCCTCGCCGCACGGAGTCACACATTCTGAACAAACTGCATCTCCCTTTCCATGTGTAAAACAGGGATATAAACTGACATTCACCCGGAGTGAAATCACTGGAGTATGAACATTCAGGACCAAACTCTATCAACACCAGACCTTGGGACTCAACCAGACAGAGGGAGTGCTGTCCCTAATATAAGGCGTTCCTTTCACTGATATTCTAATACATTCATAATTGTATGGACATCAGTTTACATTCATACTTCGACATACGCCTCAAAGAACGAATTAAGACTGTTTGAATCACTATATTCATCCTGCTATATGCTTGTCATTACTCTTCAAGTTGACCTGTGTGCGGGACATGAAGTCTACATAGGTCAGGTCGTCATTAGCTACCGTAGTCATGACTACCGCATACTTCTTCTGTTGTCTGAATTCATTACACGTTTATATCAATAATAGATTCTTTTTTCCTACTTCTGACAGCATATTAGGAATGCATAACGTTCCCGAAAGGTTCGTAAATTACTATTTGTGTATACAGGAGAGTAAAAATACATTTATCATTTGATGTCATTGGTATTAGTTTCAGGAATACAATATACAGCAGCAAAGAGGGATATGTGGTAACGGTACATTCAGGCAGGTTAGGCTCATATCAGTCCAGGGCTCTTGCCCTGTGACTCTGAATAGGATTTCTCCCAGGAAGCACTGTTTAGTCGAATCCAGCAAGAACTCTCCGGAGAATATGGAGACTCCCCAATACTGCAGCCGTCTGTATTATCCAGAGTGTGAGAAGGGATGTGCACCCGTTGGAGAAACCGAGCTCACTCCTGCACTAAGAGATCAGGAGGAGCCAAACCAAGTGCACCGAGAACAATGGAGAATCGGACAACTTTGGAATGCAAGCTGGGCATTTCGAATACGAGGTTTTTATCGAAAACGACAAAATCATGTTCGTTGGCTTGGACATGTCTAAGACTGTATATTCGCCTGTTCCAAAGATTTTTATTGTTGTCATTTTCCATTTTATTATATTAAAGGTTTTTGAACGAACCCTCACTAAGTTCATTTCAGAACCCGCATTTGAATACAGTCAAGCCTCGCCTTTAAGAATCGCCAGGACGTCTTCATACACGGCAATACGCCCCGTATATCCGTTGTCTGGCAGACTCTTCAAAGTCTGGATATACTCCTCCGGAACTTTGCTCTGTTGACCTCCGCGCACTATTACGTCCTTGTACTGCGGCGAAGGAAGCTCCTCCTGACCTTGACCTTCACGCATGGCAAACGCGTAGCAGGTGAACTTGTTACCCCGAAGGTCGCTCACCTCCAGGTCAAGGCCTTGGTGAGTATGTTCCTGGCTGCAGGGATAATAATATGAATGGGTAAGACGTGAGAAAGGTACAGTCGACAAAATCAAGTTTCAAAATGTGTTTTGGGTAAAGGTGTCATAAGCTTAGTAAATGAGTATCTGTCTGTGAGATGCTCTGTTCACTAGTGATGGTATCAGTTTGTGTAATGTCTGAGAACAAGGCAACCTACAAGAAACAAAGTAGGATATTGTCTCTTACGCCAATATATGACTGTTTCACACCATCGTTCTCAGCATAAGTTTCGTAAGTGAAGATTTGTGTAAAAAGTCTGGATTCATTGATGTAGAGAATTACGGAAATACCACACTTGTGCATCAGGTCTTCTGTTGACATAGATCTATAGACGTTTGATGAATATTTAATTTTAGACATGCTGATTACCTGTCCAATTCGGCCTTGACCTTGTCTTCCAACTCCCAGATCACCCCCCAAACATGGCTGCCCGGTGACTTCCGGAGATTAGCGGTTGGCCCATGCCAAACGCCTGGTAAAGGCCAATCACGACAAAACGCAAGACGGTAATTCTGGAATTTTGAAACATTTCAAAAGTCTGTATTTTTTTTATGCGAGCAAAGGACCTCTAAGCGCTTTGATAAAGTCAACGTAGATGCTTTTGGTAACATTGTGACAACAATATCACACATCACCGTTATCAATTTGTATCAGTAGATTGTTCGCTTATTGTGCAGGTGCCCCGGAACGTGGTTATCGGTAATACAATAGGGGATAAATTGGGGCATCGCTCTAATAACAACCATAACATATGTAACAACCATTTGGTGGATATCTCAGAATATATAACGACTCAGCTCTATGGTGAACTACCATACACACATTATTAAGTGAATAACGAATTGCGACTTATCTATATTGATATCAGGATGTCTCAAAACGGGATCAGTCGACAAGATAAACATAGCAAAAGCTTCCTGATAAGCACTGACCACAGTACGCACATTTTAACAATACAAGTGAGGCAAAATAAGATCTGAACAATTGAAATACACCTCTGAAGGTAAGTTGCAAAACCTACAAACACATTCGTTTTAACTGGTACAAACCTGAGCTTGTCTGAACTTCAAACTGACAATGATTATTTTTCGACAGCTAAAGCCTCACCCCATCAACAAATGGTCATCACAAACCTACACATCAAAGTCCAAACCTACACCGAAAGCCCCACCCAAGCAACCCCATCATCAAATGGTCATCACAAACCTACACCGAAAGCCCCACCCCATCAACAAATGGTCATCACAAACCTACACCCAAAGCCCCACCCCATCATCAAATGGTCATCACAAACCTACACCGAAAGCCCCACCCCAGCAACAAATGGTCATCACAAACCTACACCCAAAGTCCCACCCCACAAATGGTCATCAAATGGTCATCACAATCTACAAATGGTCATCACAAAGCACCCAAGCCCCAAGCAACAAATGGTCATCACAAACCTACACCCAAAGTCCCACCCCATCATCAAATGGTCATCACAAACCTACACCCAAAGCTCCCACCCCATCAACAAATGGTCATCACAAACCTACACCGAAAGCCCCACCCCATCAACAAATGGTCATCACAAACCTACACCCAAAGCCCCACCCCATCAACAAATGGTCATCACAAACCTACACCCAAAAGCCCCACCACAGCAACAAATGGTCATCACAATCTACCACCGAAAGCCCCACCCCATCAACAAATGGTCATCACAATCTACACCTGAAAGCCCCACCCAAAGCAACAAATGGTCATCACAAACCTACACCCAAAGCCCCACCCCATCAACAAATGGTCATCACAATCTACACCGAAAGCCCCACCCCAGCAACAAATGGTCATCACAAACCTACACCCAAAGCCCCACCCCATCAACAAATGGTCATCACAAACCTACACCGAAAGCCCCACCCCATCAACAAAAATCACAAACCTCATCACAATCTACACCCAAATGGTCCCACCTACACCGAAAGCCCCAGCATCAACAAATGGTCATCACAATCTACACCGAAAGCCCCACCCCATCAACAAATGGTCATCACAATCTACACCCAAAGCCCCACCCCAGCAACAAATGGTCATCACAATCTACACCCAAAGCCCCACCCCATCAACAAATGGTCATCACAAACCTACACCCAAAGCCCCACCCCATCAACAAATGGTCATCACAAATCTACCCTGAAAGCCCCACCCCATCAACAAATGGGTCATCACAATCTACACCCGTCGGCCCAAAGCCCCACCCCATCATCAAATGGTCATCACACAAACCTACACCCAAAGTCACAAACCAGCCCCCCCCATCAACAAATGGTCATCACAATCTACACCTGAAAGCCCCACCCCATCAACAAATGGTCATCACCCAAAGCCCCCCCATCAACAAATGGTCATCACAACCTACACCCAAAGCCCCACCCCATCAACAAATGGTCATCACAATCTACACCCACCCCATCAACAAATGCCCACCCCATCAACAAATGGTCATCACAAATGGTCATCACACCTACACCCAAAGCCCCACCCCATCAACAAATGGTCATCACAAACCTATCTACACCAAAAGGTCCCACCCCCCATCAACAAATGGTCATCACAAGCTCCCACCCTACACACCCAAAGCCCCACCCCATCAACAAATGGTCATCACAATCTACACCCAAAGCCCCACCCCATCAACAAATGGTCATCACAAACCTACACCCAAAGCTCCCACCCCTACACCCAAAGCCCCACCCCATCAACAAATGGTCATCACAACCTACACTGAAAGCCCCACCCCATCAACAAATGGTCATCACAAACCTACACCAAAAGCTACACCCAAAGCCCCCCCATCAACAAATGGTCATCACAAACCTACACCCAAAGCCCCACCCCATCAACAAATGGTCATCACAAACCTACACCCAAAGCCCCACCCCATCAACAAATGGTCATCACAAACCTACACCCAAAGCCCCACCCCATCAACAAATGGTCATCACAAACCTACACCCAAAGCCCCACCCCATCAACAAATGGTCATCACAAACCTACACCCAAAGCCCCACCCAAGCAACAAATGGTCAAGAAATCTACACCCAAACCCCATCAACAAATGGTCATCACACCCAAATACAAACACATCCAAAAGCAACAAATGGTCATCACAACCTACACCCAAAGTCCCACCCCATCAACAAATGGTCATCACAAACCTACACCGAAAGCCCCACCCCATCAACAAATGGTCATCACAAACCTAAACCCAAAGTCCCACCCCATCATCAAATGGTCATCACAATCTACACCGAAAGTCCCACCCAAGCAACAAATGGTCATCACAAACCTACACCCAAAGCCCCACCCCATCAACAAATGGTCATCACAAACCTACACCCAAACGAAATCGGAGCGTTTACATGAAATCATCAAAGCTTTGTTAATTAATAATGGAATGGAATACCCCCTACCTTTCTTTAATAGTATATGATTTCATACAGTTCTTACCTCCAGCTTGGCAGGACCTCGAAATATCTTTAGAGCTCTAGGGTTGTAGCAGAGCATTCGTTCCTTCAGCATATTGCTGGCGTAGGCGAAGTGGAGGAATCTCCCGGACGTCATGACAGCGTCCGTCACACTCTGCACCAGCGACACTGTAGAGACGCCTTATGCGGGTGCCACCTGCCGGCGTGTGTCGTGTTTCCACGCCTCCTTCCATGACGACTTCATGATCAGAACGAGGTCGTTAACCTGCACAGGTCGCATGGACACAACCCTGAAGGATGGGTGAAAGATGTGAACCCGTTCTAAAGACCGACAAACATCGGAGGATTATGGAGAGGGAAGATGGTCACTCAAGTTTTGTTATGGAATTGGGTACTGGGCGGGTAGAAATGATCTCAGTAAAAAATTTAATTTATAGTTTGTATTTTTGTAAATACTGCAAATATGCAAAGGCATAACCCTTTTCTAAAATGGAATACCGCCAGTCCCTTCTGTCGTGATATAGCTGAATTGTTTATGTGTACGGTCCTAAACAACATGTACTCTTGTTTTCACGATATGATAATAAGGGTCTTGCAAAAACATTTTTGTCCTGATATTAAATAGTCTCATTTTCTGTCAGTATTCATAACGTCCGCGATCCATGAATACGCACATTGTGAGTGTGTTTGGCACGGACTAGTAGACACAACACTCTAAGGACAGGTCATAGTTGGAATTCAAGGCATGGATTTATAGCTCGTTCAGAGATAGCCGTGTACAGCTTGATCCACATTTAAGACACTCGTATAATGCCTCAGCAATATTTTTTATGTCTAGTCATTTTATGATTTTATCACACACAAGTAGGGTGATAGCTGTGTCACACAAAGCGTCACTTGTTGATCTAAGCCCATCCGAATTAGCAAGTGTGTGTGTGTGTGTGTGTGTGTGTGTGTGTGTGTGTGTATGTGTGTGTGTATGTGTGTGAGTGCGAGCGAGTGTGTGTGGGTGTGTGCGTGCGTGCGTGCGTGTGTGTGTGAATGAGTGAGTTGAGTTTTAAGCCGCACTCAGCAATATTCCAGCTATAATATGGCGGCGGTCTGTAAATAATCGACTCTGGACCAGACAGTCCAGTGATCAAAAGCATGATCATCGATCTACGCAAGTGGGATACGACAAGCATGGTTACTGAAGATCAATTCCAACCCGGATCTTCACGGGTTAGAGAGAGAGATCTCGAGCGCGAGAGAGAGTAAGTGTGTCTGTTTGTGTGTGCGTTCGTGCGTGCCAACAAATAGCAACGTCTTCGTCCACAAACTACCAATCACTACAGATCTCAGAACCCCTCCCCATCACTACAGATCTCAGAACCCCTCCCCATCACTACAGATCTCAGAACCCCCTCCCCATCACTACAGATCTGAGAACCCCTCCCCATCACTACAGATCTCAGAACCCTCCCCATCACTACAGATCTCAGAACCCCCCCCACTCACTACAGATCTCAGAACCCCTCCCCATCACTACAGATCTCAGAACCCTCCCCATCACTACAGATCTCAGAACCCTCCCCATCACTACAGATCTCAGAACCCTCCCCATCACTACACAGATCTCAGAACCCCTCCCCATCACTACAGATCTCAGAACCCTCTCCATCACTACAGATCTCAGAACCCCTCCCCATCACTACAGATCTCAGAACCCCTCATCCCTCAGAATCCTCCCCATCAGACAGATCACAGAACCCTCCCCATCACTACAGATCTCAGAACCCCTCCCCATCACTACAGATCACAGAACCCCTCCCCATCTCTACAGATCTCAGAACCCTCCCCATCACGACAGATCTCAGAACCCCTCCCCATCACTACAGATCTCAGAACCCTTCCACATCACAACAGATCTCAGAACCCTCCCCATCACTACAGATCACAGAACCCTCCCCATCACTACAGATCTCAGAACCCTCCCCCATCACTACAGATCTCAGAACCCTCCCATCACTACAGATCTCAGAACCCTCCCCATCACTACAGATCTCAGAACCCCTCCCCATCACTACAGATCTCAGAACCCTCCCATCACTACAGATCTCAGAACCCTCCCATCACTACAGATCTCAGAACCCCTCCCCATCACTACAGATCTCAGAACCCCTCCCATCACTACAGATCAGAACCTCACAGATCCCCCTCCCCATCACTACAGATCTCAGAACCCCTCCCCATCACTACAGATCTCAGAACCCCTCCCCATCACTACAGATCTCAGAACCCTCCCCCATCACTACAGATCTCAGAACCCTCCCCCATCACTACAGATCTCAGAACCTCAGAACCCCTCCCATCACTACAGATCTCAGAACCCTCCCCATCACTACAGATCACAGAACCCCTCCCCATCACTACAGATCTCAGAACCCCTCCCCATCACTACAGATCTCAGAACCCCCTCCCCATCACTACAGATCTCAGAACCCTCCCCCATCACTACAGATCTCAGAACCCCTCCCCATCACTACAGATCTCAGAACCCCTCCCCATCACTACAGATCTCAGAACCCTCCCCATCACTACAGATCTCAGAACCCCCTCCCCATCACTACAGATCTCAGAACCCTCCCCATCACTACAGACAGATACAGATCTAGAACCCCTACCATCACTACAGATCTCAGAACACCTACCAATCACTACAGATCTCAGAACCCCTCCCTATCACTACAGATCTCAGAACCCCTCCCCATCACTACAGATCTCAGAACCCCTCCCCATCACTACAGATCTCAGAACCCTCCCCCATCACTACAGATCACAGAACCCTCCCTCATCACTACAGATCTCAGAACCCTCCCCATCACTACAGATCACAGAACCCCCCCATCTCTACAGATCTCAGAACCCCTCCCCATCCAGATCTCAGAACCCCTCCCCACTACAGATCTCAGAACTACAGATCTCAGAACCCTCCCCATCACTACAGATCTACAGATTTCAGAACCCTCCCCCATCACTACAGATCTCAGAACCCTCCCCCATCACTACAGATCTCAGAACCCCTCCCCATCATACAGATCCCCTAGAACCCCATCACTTTCCACAGATCTCAGAACCCTCCCATCACTACAGATCTCAGAACCCTCCCCATCACTACAGATCTCAGAACCCCTCCCCATCACTACAGATCTCAGAACCCTCCCCATCACTACAGATCTCCAGAACCCTCCCCATCAGTACAGATCTACAGATCCCCCCCCCCCATCACTACAGATCTCAGAACCCTCCCATCACTACAGATCTCAGAACCCTCCCCATCACTACAGATCTCAGAACCCTCCCCATCACTACAGATCTCAGAACCCTCCCCATCACTACAGATCTCAGAACCCCTCCTCATCACTACAGATCTCAGAGAACCCTCCCCATCACTACAGACTCAGAACCCCTCCCCATCTACAGATCTCAGAACCCTCCCCATCACTACAGATCTCAGAACCCCTCCCCATCACTACCAGATCTCTCAGAACCCTCCCCATCACTACAGATCTCAGACCCTCCCCCATCACTACAGATCTCAGAGACCCCCTCCCCATCACTACAGATCTCAGGACCCCTCCCATCACTACACAGATCTCAGAACCCTCTCCCATCACTACAGATCTCAGAACCCCTCCCCATCACTACAGATCTCAGAACCCCTCCCCATCACTACAGATCTCAGAACCCTCCCCATCACTACAGATCTCAGAACCCTCCCCACCACTACAGATCTCAGAACCCCTCCCCATCACTACAGATCTCAGAACCCCTCCCCATCACTACAGATCACAGAACCCTCCCCATCACTACAGATCTCAGAACCCCTCCCCATCACTACAGATCTCAGAACCCCTCCCCATCACTACAGATCTCAGAACCTCCCCATCACTACAGATCTCAGAACCCCTCCCCATCACTACCACAGATCTCTAGATTCTAGTCTCCCTCCCCACTCACAGATCTAGAACCACATCACTAGAGATCTCAGAACCCCTCCCAACAGATCTCAGTAAGCCTCATCACTACAGATCACAGAACCCCTCCCCATCACTACAGATTTCTCAGAACCCTCCCATCACTACAGATCTCAGAACCCCTCCCCATCACTACAGATCTCAGACCCCTCCCCCATCACTACAGATCTCAGAACCCTCCCCATCACTACAGATCTCAGAACCCCTCCCCATCACTACAGATCTCTCAGAACCCCTCCCCATCACTACAGATCTCAGAACCCCTCCCCATCACTACAGATCTCTTCAGAACCCTCCCATCACTACAGATCTCAGAACCCCTCCCCCCATCACTACAGATCTCAGAACCCCTCCCCATCACTACAGATCTCAGAACCCCTCCCCATCACTACAGATCTCAGAACCCTCTATATCATCACAGATCACAGAACCCCTCCCCATCACTACAGATCTCAGAACCCCTCCCATCACTACAGATCTCAGAACCCCTCCCCATCACTACAGATCTCAGAACCCCTCCCCATCACTACAGATCTCAGAACCCCTCCCATCACTACAGATCTCAGAACCCTCCCTCATCACTACAGATCACAGAACCCCTCCCCCATCACTACAGATCACAGAACCCCTCCCCATCACTACAGATCTCCCCCTCCCCATCACTACAGATCTCAGAACCCCTCCCCATCACTACAGATCACAGAACCCCTCCCCATCACTACAGATCTCAGAACCCCTCCCCATCACTACAGATCTCAGAACCCTCCCCATCACTACAGATCTCAGAACCCCTCCCCATCACTACAGATCTCAGAACCCCTCCCCATCACTACAGATCTCAGAACCCCCTCCCCATCACTACAGATCTCAGAACCCCTCCCCATCACTACAGATCTCAGAACCCCTCCCCCATCACTACAGATCTCAGAACCCCCCTCCCCATCACTACAGATCTCAGAACCCCTCCCCATCACTACAGATCTCAGAACCCCTCCCCATCACTACAGATCTCAGAACCCCTCCCCATCACTACAGATCTCAGAACCCCTCCCCATCACTACAGATCTCAGAACCCTCCCCCATCACTACAGATCTCAGAACCCCTCCCATCACTACAGATCTCAGAACCCCTCCCCATCAGTACAGATCTCAGAACCCCTCCCCATCACTACAGATCTCAGAACCCTCCCCCATCACTACAGATCTCAGAACCCCTCCCCCATCACTACAGATCTCTCAGAACCCCTCCCCATCACTACAGATCTCAGAGAACCCTCCCCATCACTACAGATCTCAGAACCCCTCCCCATCACTACAGATCTCAGAACCCTCCCCCATCACTACAGATCTCAGAACCCTCCCCATCACTACAGATCTCAGAACCCCCTATCACTGCAGATCTCAGAACCCTCTCCCCATCACTACAGATCCTCAGAACCCCTCCCCATCACTACAGATCTCAGAACCCCTCCCATCACTACAGATCTCAGATCCATCACTACAGATTCAGAACCCCTCCCCATCACTACAGATCTCAGAACCCTCCCTCCCCATCACTACAGATCTCAGAGACCCTCCCCATCACTACAGATCTCAGAACCCCTCCCCATCACTACAGATCTCAGAACCCCTCCCCATCACTACAGATCTCAGAAAGAACTCCTCCATCACTACAGATCTCAGAACCCCTCCCCATCACTACAGATCTCAGAACCCCTCCCATTCACTACAGATCTCCAGAACCCCTCCCATCACACA